TATAGGCTTTGATTCTTTTTCTCTCAATAAGAATGTCTTTTCCATATGCTCCGGTTAAAAATAATACCCCATTCCCCCTTATACCCTATTACATAATTAGCATTCCTTGAAAAAACTTTCTCAGCGCACTGGGCCTTCATGCCTTCAACATGTTATCCACACTCTACCTCTCTCTTCTACAACCACAGCACATACATAGCCTTGCAGATTGGGCTTCTCCTCCGTGAAACCTGATCCTGCCTCCCTAGTTGAGGTACAGCTTTGTACGTGCCCCTATTGCAGAACTTCTCTCACTGAATTAGTCATTTAAGGTTTGTCTTGTTCATCTTTGGGATTCCGTCCCTTAGCACAATCCCTGGTATAGTTGGCGCTAAATAAATGGTAACTGTTATTAGAGAGTCCAGGGTGAAATTGGCAAGTGATTATACAAATGTGGACAAGGATATGGTTCTTAAAGGTAAAGGCAATTCTTAACCTGGCAGGAAAAGCAGTGATGCCAAGATTATCAAGCTTGTAAAATACTTTACCCTGTGCCTCCCATAGTGTCAACTGTATTGCATAGAAATTTTACAGTCACTAGGATCATTTCACATGTCTGACCTTGCTGCTTCTTTCTACTATATGTGTCATGTTTAATCTCAGTTCTCTCTTGATACCTTACCCTTACACAGACCCTAGAGTATTCATGTAGTCAAATCATGTATATATTTTTTAACATCTTAATGTGCAAAAGCACCATGTTAGGTGCTAGAAATGATACAGTGGTGAACAAGATGACTCTTCCTCAAAGATGTCAGTCTTTTTTTTTTTTTTTTAGCGATAGCACATACTGTAAAATATATAAAGTGGTCTAATTTTAAGTGTACAGCCTGATGAATTCTTACATATGTAAACAATCATTTCCAGCACCCCAGAAGTTTCCTTCATGCCCATCGCCAACCTACCTACTCCTCAAAATCCCTATTTTGATTTCTGTCATCAGAACCTACTATCTTAAGAGCCTCTTAAATTGTAATTGGTCTTCCCTAACTCAAAGCCTAAGTGAACGGCAACAATTGAGTTGTCGATTTCTAACCTAATACTTCAGAAAACTAATTATACTGTCTATTTTAAGAAGGACTTGGAATTGGTGATCCAGGCTGCCTAATAGCACCAAATAATTGGTTATACCATAAATTGATTTGTTGAGGGATTAAAGAAATTATATGAGATGTTCAATAGCATGAAGAAATGGAAAGGATAGTGAATTTTTAGTCAGAACATCTGGGTTTGAATTTTCTGCTCTGTCACTTAGAAGTTGTGTGATATTTTAGCAAATCACATCTTCTGTGGGCCTCTCCTCAGATATAAAATGCAGATAATACTCAGCCTACCTACCTCACAAGGTATGTTGTGTTAAATAATGCATAAGAAACACTGTAAATTGTATAATTCTAATAAAATGCTGTTAATAAACCAACATCTGTATATGTCCTGTCATCCTGATTAATCTCTACTTCAAACATTACTAGTTGTCTAATACATGGCAGTGAGAGAAATCAATATGGATTAGATTCTTTAGTAAGAATCCTGAGATAGGTTTTTCTTTAGAGTTGCCAGCTACTGCCCAAATCTGGAGGACCTTCATTTGGCCTTATTTTTTCTAGAACCTTTTCCAATTGCATAGCTAGGTGAGGTCAAATTAATGACTTCCACTTCTGAAATTCTGTGACTCAATTTCTTAGGCAAAATTGATTATGAATCAGGAGTATTATGACTGTCTTCCTAAAGAGGGGTCTAATAGCTAATGAAGTTGCCACTGGAAGATTTCTTATCTAGTTTGTTTTCAGAGGTTGAGTATGAAAGGGGAAAAATTAGGAATTTTTTTATCATATATAAAATTTCATGCTATTTAACATTATAAGTCCAGGAGTGAGTAGCTCATTAGAAATAAATGTATGGGTTGTTGGTCTCTAATTTTATGCCATTGTTTATCTAAGACTTAGTCAAATTAATATTTTAATACATCTTAGCAGAATTCAGTTAAAGCACAAACATCAGTAGATAGGATCAAATCTCAAAAGTAATTGCATCTATAATTTTTTTCATGCAAACTAAAGCATAGACTCCTTCTTACCCCCCAAAAACCCAACATGTCTCCACTACCTTCATTCTATAGATAAAATTTATTTAAAATGATCTTTTTCTAAATATTTCTAAAAATTGTTTTCTAAATTGTAATATTTCTAAAATTGTATTCTAAATGCCTATGGTTTCAGGGAAAAAAATACCACCTGCTAGTAATTATCTATTTAAAGGGAGTAGAATTGATCATACTCTAATATTCTTATCACCTGCTTCCACAACTTCAGTTTACTATTGGACTTTCAGAAACTTAAAGAATTACCAAAAAGTCTTTAAACACTTCTGTATGAATAGTAATGTACACTAACTAGTACAAAATGCTGATAACTTCAACAAATTGAGTTTTCAAGGATATCAGCAGGTAAAATAAGTTTTTGGTGAAGTATCAAACATTCATTTTTCCTATTTTTCTTCTTAAACTTTATTACCTAATCAAAACATAGTCTTATGTAAAATGTAGTAAGAATTAGAAATAAATGTATGGGTTGTTGGTCTCTCTAATAATAAGTTAGAGAGACCAACAACCCATACATTTATTTCTATATATTTTTATATGCTTCTTAGTGACTAACAAATTTGGAGGCACTGAAGAGATTTTTAAAAGTTCTCAGATACTGTTCAGTTATTTAATTGTTAAGTGTGGCATCAAGATGCAAGTGTTTAAAATGTCAAAATGCCTTTTATTGTACAGAATATCGCCTTTGTAATATCTTTGTATACAATGATTTTTTTCTTGTTAATGTAATAAATGGAAAACATTCTAAAACCTTTACTAAAACTTTGTTGCTATTTGATTTAAAAAATATCAATGAGATTTTCTTTGTATTTATAGCATCTTCCTTCAGGGAAAGGTAGTTTGGGTTGCTTAGAAACATTAGGCATTATAATGGAACCCCATAGCTGAATATACTTGCATATGTAACTGTCCTTTGAAATGATAATTTTGTAGAGTATTAAAATGTCTTTTTAAAAGATTTTTATTTTCTGCCTCCCTGACATTTCCTGTGTTTCTCTCCCTTCCTGAATAACTGAGGACAAAAGTCATTCACTTATTTTGAGCAAGGTACAGGTAGGCATTGCCACAGAGGGTGAAGGTGGTGGCCCAGTATGGGATTATAGTGTCTAGAACCTAAGGAGAACATGTGAGGGTGATCAGGAGGGCAGTCTCAGTGATCTCAAATAAGGATGCAGCGATAGGCAAATTATTTAAAAGGGGGACTGATCTATTCAGTAAATATATTAAGGCTAATGGGAGTCAGATTTCTCACTGTCAGAGGAAGAAATTACAACTATGTAAAGGGAGAGAAAACTAGAATACGGTTGGAATTAGAAGTACTTGCATAACTCATAGTTTTCAATACACGTAAAGAAATATATAAAGATAAGCATGTGTGTGCACGCACATGCCACGAGAGGGCTTGAGGGTGGCAATGCCACAATAGCAGTGAGCATAGCTAATGTCTAGATATTGGTTTTTAAATATCATTTTCCACTAAAAGGAACTAGTTCCTCTTAAATTAAGACCCACTCCAGGGCTGGTGCTGATGAAATACGAGATGAGCGTAGAGTGTCTTTTTGTATTAGAAAGTGAGAACATTCTCCAAGAATGATGGAGACAGGTCAAAAGGACACAGGAGCCAGCTTGAAGGGGCACCCACTAGCCAAATCAATGTATTTGTTGCTAATGTTTACTCTCTGCTTGAAATTTTGTATAACTTTAGGAATAGAAATTTAAGAAATAGAAGTCTTTTAAGTTGGCTAAGGAGGCTCTGAATTCGTCCATTTTGCAGATCCACTGAATTCAAAGCTGAGCCAAAAAGAAACATGCAAAAGACTGTCTTCCCAAAGTATTTAAACCTGTTTTGTAGAAAAATTTCCCCAGAAACTGAGAATTTCACACAAAAGTTCTTACGTTTTTATCAAGTTTATTTCTATTATCCCTTTCTCATTTCTGGCATTGAAAATAGTGAAAAAATTATTTGCTGTTATTCACATAATGAAATGTCATGTCCATTAACCTATTTTCCTTATTCTGAAGTGATAATACATCTTAGTATCTATGTTTAATGTAGAGATGGGAGAGGAGACTGAGTAATCCAATTCTATCCAAGTGTGTCCTAAAATAAGCTCAGATAGCTGAATCGGGGTCATGGAAATTACACTTAAGTCTGAAATTTTAATGAGACTTCTTTCTCAAAGTTTTAATGACTCATCCATTACTTTAGGTTTAGTTTATTTAATGTTTTTCCTCTTCATAGTACCAACTGATGACTAACTTATTAACAAGTGGTAATCATATGAGATCATATGAAATATACTTGGGCTATTTTTTGGTAAGCTCCTTGACTTGGTGCCTCCATTCCAAAAACCAATTCTTGTGGTTATATGTGTTTAAATAACATCCTTAACTGTCTTCTTCACACAGTAGGTGCTCAATAAGGTTTATTAGAAAGGACCCTAGATTCCAGGAAACTTAAGTTCTAATCTTAAATATGGTAGTAACTAATGATTTTGAATAAATTTAACTTCTTTGGTTTTCATATTTATAAAATGGAGATGATAAATATCCTTCCTACCTGATGAGGATGTTTGAAGTTAGATAACTTTATTAAAGCACTCTGAAATAATATCAGCTTACCTTCTTTGTTTGGCAATCTCAATTTTTCAAAATCTTATCCCTGGCATTGAAGTTATTGAAGGCACTTGTGTCTCCTTATTTAAAAGATTTATGAATGTCTCTCTTACCATGGTATGCCTCAGTTCCTAAGGTTTTACTTTCCCTCCCCAGGAAATGTGTTGACAATTTTAGATTGTCAAAATAGTAACTTGAAGTTGTTAACTTTTGTAACAAATCACACCAAAAGTACTTCTATTGGTAGTAGCTTGCTAGAAGCTTACTGAGAAAAATATTAATGGTGTCAGATTTACATTTGACATCTTATTATAAGATACTGTACTGCATAAATATAGGTATAACTTCTATCGAGATCATTTTTAAAATTTATAACATGATTTTAAAGGTGGTAATTCTCTTCTAGAGGAAAATTTTGCTAAAAGTATAGCTTCTCAGATTATCAGAGAATGCATTCTGTTTGTGTACCTCTCTAAATGAAAGAAGAAAATGGTTTCATTATTCAGTTTGCCTGGTGGGGGTTGGAGAGGGAATGAGGAAAATCATAAGACATCCTTAAAACAATTTAACACAAAATATACTGTATATAGATCCTGAGATGTTACAACAAATTTAAAAATAAATAGATCAACATGATCCAGATAGTTTCCAAGACACCATTATGGTGAGTAAACAGCCATAATACAGTGTACGCTGAATAAAGTCCCCGTCGTGCCGCATAAACCCTATTCTTTGTTTCCAAATTTGAAAGCTAGTCATCCAGAGCAGGGGGCCAGTCAACATCTACAGACTAGAAGGAAGAAAACAAGTCATTAAAACATATTACTGTTCTAGGAAGCATTGCTGGTAATGCCGTATCAATTTAATAGTTTTAATACACTATAAGAAGAAACTGCATTTGAAGAGAAGAGCCATTAAATACAACAATTTAACACTCTAAAACCCATTCTAGGATTTGGGAATTCTTAAGCCTGAGGTCTGTTGCAGAATTCATTGAGTATTTGGTTACTGAACTGGTTATTCATTGTGCCTTTTGACTGATAAGAAACTAGAGTATGTTTACAATTTTTTTAATGTTATTAATGGGTAAAGTAGCAAACAAATTCAGGTGAAAACACAAACTTTCCCTCAGAAGTCTCAGCAACTTTTATTCTTCTGATCATTTTCATTTTCCCATATCTCTATTTTAAGTATTCACCCTGATCTGGCTCTTCTAAAACAAAACCTCGATCTTCAAGTCATAATGAAATTACAGTGCCACACTATTTTGTGCCACATTCTAGGCCTTAAAAGTATGAAATTGCTTTTCATCTTAACTACCCTAGGGGCCTAATTTAAGAAAAACTTTTAAAAATCCACTGTACCCATGTCGTTTTTTGAAACTTAGAGTTTAAAACCTGATTTGTTAATTTAAAAAAATGATTTTTAAAAATATGAGTCACTTCACATGCCAGATTCAGAAAAATTTTATTAGAAAAGCCTAAATAACCATTGCATATGTACATGTGCATGTATCTTTTATAGATCCCAAGAAAATACTTTGGTTCTTTTTCAGAATATAGCCATATATCAAACACCCACATATAAGTTAATGGGTGGTTTCTCAAGTCTGAAAATTAAACATTACTAATCACAGCCTTGTATGTGTTGAGGGCAGGGGAGCATAGGCATGTTGTAGTGTTTAAAATGCTCCACAGGTGATTCCATTGGACAATCAGGGCTGAGAAACATTGGCCTGTGATGTGACTTTTTGACACTTGTAAGCTGTTCTTAAGAATCAAGGTAAAGGTGAATGCAGTTGGGATTCTCTTTAACAAAGGGTTGTCTTCATCAAAATGATAGTCTCACTGAGGAGGGTTCCTGCAACTTTGACTGGCTGAGACATAAAAATCTAACCTGAAAGCACTCAAGAGAACTGTTGGTAAGGCAATAATAATGCTCCAGTGACCATTTGCTTACCATAGCTGTTTTCACACAAGGCAACTATACCCATTTCTTTTTATGATAGATATTATTCCCAAGTGCAAAATGTTAACCTCTTTTAAAATTTTCTTTGTTGAAGGCAGGAGTTGGGGAGGGTCTCTATTGGATGAATGGATATTCATCAAGGAGCACAACTTGTGTCTGAATACCTACTGATGCTCGAATGAGAAAAAATTTTATGGCGAATTGCCTGAAAGATCCATTTTATCCATTTTTTAAATAAGATTTTAACCTTGTTTAAATTCATATTGTAAGTGGAGAATATGGACCATATCATAGGGGTCCCTTATAGAACTGCTTTTATTAATAACCTTTGGCTCATCCCATTTTCTACCCCTGTCCTGAATATACATTTCTGAGTAGGCTGCCTTAAATTCTTTGTAAGACAATTGGTATGAAAGTGAACTCTATAGAGTCCAAAGGACATATGAGGGGTCCTTACAACTTCAAATCTTTGCTTGGTTTAAAGGTTTCGATCTCATGCCATATGTAAAGGACAATTAATAAATTAGCTATATATTTGCAAAGATCATAAATGAGACCTTGTATTTTTTTTAAAGAAATAAAAATTCCAAGATAATCCCTCCCTTCAACATAATGCTACTGTGAGATTTTGACCATTTTCAAACACTTCTTAACCCTTTTCTCATTTAGGAAAAAAAAGTGCAGCTCACAGCCAGTGTTAATTTAACATGCATAGGAATGCTAGGTTTTCTAGGATTTGACATTTTCAGTGATCGAGAATTACTATATTTTGTAAATGGAAATACCACTACTAAAAACAGAATGCTATAAATAGGAAGATGTCATTTGTTTCCAAAGACTACCAATATTCTAGAGTGATGAGAAAATAATAAAAACAAGACATTTTGTGGTAAATTTGGGGGGTAAGGTTAGGACTGTAATCCGCGAGTTATCCCAGGGTAAACAATGCAGCCACCAGCGAGAGTTCTCAAAGCAAATGGGAAATGGGTTAAGGTGAGTAGTACTATTTGGCTTATGGCAAAAAAAAAAAAAAAAAGCATAACTTTGAATTCAAAGTGTAGATGGGCATTTCCACAATAGAATGGTTTACCTCAACATCCAGCTCAAGAATGTCTGCAGTCACGTTCATCAGAGAGCCAATGTTTGGCTTGGTTCTCCCAAAGTCTCCATGTACAAATTCTTTAATGTAGCTGGGGTTCATTTAAGGAAAAAGTAAGATAGCCATGCAGTACCCACTGTTTGATGAGATTTCATAGCTGAAAGAGAAATAAAAGCAGAAATGTTATAGTAGAGAGCTGCGACTTGTGATGTGTGTCTTAGAAAATAAGCTACAGCAGACTGGTTCCTACCAGCCTGGCAACCAACATCAGGACATAAGACCTGTATTTACATCAGACTTACCAAGAATCATGACTTTCTTTTTTCTTTTGCTCATCTCCAAGTGCCAAGGTTTGGGTATGGATTTTCAAAATTAGCTGTAGTTCAATGTAATATATACATATAAAAAAAAAAATCTCAGCTATTTTTTCTTTGTACAACTTTCATTTTGACATCTTCCTGGTCCTATTTTTCAATAATGGCAGCCAGCATCTGCCAGATGTTAGGTTTCCACAGGCTCACACAGGGTGACCTCAGTGATGGCTTTCTTTGCAACATGGCCCACTGACAATGGCAATAGGATGGAAGGGACAATGAGACTATGAACTTAGTCTTGATGAAGGCCCTTCCAAAAGATTATCAAAGGACCCAAGTTTTAGTTGTTTTGAAAACATGGTTAACAAGAGAACTAACTTAATTCTCTTTTTTTTAAAGAGGTAACCTTGTGTTTCCCTCATAGGTCTTAACATTTTGAAGTCAGTTACCAATCCTAGAATTAGTTATTAATAAGATTACATTAACATTCCTTATACAGGACTCTACTGCAGCCTTGACAATATCTGAAAGGTATTTTCGCCAGCATCCAGTAAAAATTCATTTAACATTATGTTGTGGTCTATAAACCAGCACTTAATATAAAAATTTTTAATAATTTGAATAGAAGTAAGTTTATTTTCAGATACATAAAAATTAATACCATAATATGCTGATATTACGTCTTCCTCACTTTCTGAAAGTTTATTCACTATTTTCATTAAATGTTTTGACTCAAGCATAAGACGTGATTATCTAGTAACTCTTCTTTGCTAAATTCATAATTACTCAACAAGTGTCATTCTTTTTCTCTCACTTTCTTTAGAGAATGCTACTTTTGAGTAGCAATGATGAGGGGAGATGACTGAAAAGCCCCAGAGTAACCAGTTAAAATGTCCAGAATGGTTCTTATTCATAGCCAGAGGGATGAGGTATAAGTCAGATAAATTAGTTCAGAGTACAAAGCAATATATAATAAAAATTCACATATTTCTGTGTATAACCACATGGTATCTAAAGCTTAACCAAACAGTTTGTCTTGGCTAATGTCTTAAGTTACATGAACATGGCTGGTTCTGAAAAAAATTTAATGAGACTGAAAATACATTAGCTTCCCTAAAAGACCACTGCATTTCTCTCTAGCACAGCAAAACTAAAGCTGGGATTAGGTTAAAGGATTTTTTTTTTAATCTGTGATTTCTTAGAAATCTTATCACATTCCATCTATAACAGGCAGATGTGTTCCAAACAACACAGATACAAAGATCTGCCTGCCGCAGTCTAAAAAGACCATCCCTTATTCCAAATGGTAAAAATTTAGGAGATTTTAGGAGTAAGTGACCTATACCTGTTTTTAGGGGAGAAATCCTGCTTAGAGGAAGTTGATGGGGAAGGAGAGGCAGACCAATTACAGCAATATAGTGAGAATGCTATTTGGTGATTAAAACGACATTTTTTCCCCTTATATCCACAAGTATATTATTAGTTTTATACTAGTTAGAAGATATTTTGTCACTTCATGCTATTGGATCGCAAAATAATATAAAACCAAGAAACAAAAAGTAGAAGCACCTTTGAAAAGTAAAGACTAAGCTAAGACTAAGGCAATTAATTCCTTGTTATATTTTAACCAGCAACTCATATCTGAAAAAAAAAAAAAAAATGCAAGCCAAAGTAGATTATGAACAAGTGATCAGCCTTAGACTAGTCTCTTGTTATAGGCCAGTGGCCAAATAAAGTGAAGGTCAATATGTAAAGCAGTATCAGTATCTGTATCCTATCTAGTATCAGTATTTAATCATTTAGGGAAAATGCTCAGAAATGCTGAAAGGACCCAAAGGTGGTCATGAATATTTGACTGGCAAAATGTGTAAAAACAGCAAATGAATCAATCAAAAGTGTTTCCTGAGTACATATTATGTGCTCAGCATTGTGTGATACACTAAATATTTTTAAGTTCATATTGAACTGGCTCCCTCATGGTTTAAAATGTCATTTTGAAAAATACAAATTTAATAGGGAAAAAACCCCCAAACAAAAAAAAGAAAAAAAAAAAAAAAAAAAAAAAAAAAAAAAAGGATTGTTTAAATTGTTTAAGGGACCTCTGGGACAACATCAAGCACCTGTTTTCTAGGGCAGCATGAACTCTTCCAGTGGGGTCCTGGTCAGATCATTGCTGTGCAGGAGGTGAAAGGATACGTTCCAGCTTGCGTCTTCAGATAGAGGCGGAAATGATGTTCATCCATGTAGCATGTCTCCATGGAGTGAATGAGGCGGGTTCTCACAGCCAGGGGCCTCCGGTGTAGGACCCGGAGAGGCGTTTTCTGGTCGATCTTTAAGTCCTAGCAGAAGATATGACATACGGCCATGGAGTCAGGTTTACTGCTCTTTGAAGCTTATCTTAGCACCTCCTTTGTCATCCATGACTCAGCACAGATGTTTTATTTAGAGGACCCCAGCTATCACTGTCAGGGTAGAAACTAAGACTATAATAAGCTGTATTCCCTAAGATTCACACTCTGTGGGACTTTTTATAACCTAGTCCATCATTACTCATTTTCTGGACCCCAGTACCATAAAAAAGGCTTTCAAGTAAATGATCCCAAGGTCTCTTTTGTTCTAATATTTAACAAATTAATTAGGACTCTGGAATTCTATCCTGCCCTTTAACGGCTCTTCTAAAAGACATGTTCTTACCTTTTTAAAAAATTTTACGACTCAACAAAGTGACTAAATAATGGGGATTTCAGGCTCAGGTGACAAATAGCTATTTGTAGAAGGTGAGACATCTGTATCACGTACATATGGGCAGTGTGCATGTCTTAGAACCATATAGTCACAGGTTTGTGGGGGGTTTTATGTTATACAAAAGGATATATCTGGGAAATAAGCAGTTGCATCACAGTTTTAGGGTGGTGTTTCAACATAATAATTACAAGTAAATGTGTACAATAAACCCGGACCTCTCAATATTTGTTAGCCCAGTTCAAGTTACTTGAGAATAATAATACTGCATGTCTTTTTCCAATTCAGATTTTATAGGGACACAGGCTTATTTTTCTCACAATTAGAGATTTCCTTTTATGTCACAAGATATAAATTAAGAAATGAGGTTAGTATTGTAAAAAGCCAACTAATTCCAAGTTTTAAAAATAGACATTGAGTATAACCAGAAATGTAAGTTCATAAGAACTCTAAATCCTCTGCAGTTTCTTGTTGGAACAACTCTTTCCTAATTTATATGATCAGTGAGTGCCTGAAGCCATACCAAGAAAAAAAAAAGATTTCTCTCTAGTCTCCCCTCTATCAAGTCTTCCACTAAGAAAGAAAGAGCAAGTTCTGACAAAGACTACTTGAAATAGTGTGACTGCTTTTATCAGAGCGGTGAGTCAATGGCCCCTCCTAACTCATCAGTTTTATGATTCTATAATTCTTTGATTTTAGAAGCACTTTGTTCTGATGAGAGAAGCTGTCTCTATAAGGTTTGACATTTCACTGGCCAAAAAAGACCAAAAGAAGGACAAAGCTGAACTGTTAAAGAATCCGTAAAGATGTGGCCTCACTTTAGAGTGCAGAAAAAACAGGCCTTTAAATGAGGAACTACTTAAGGAGTGCTTGTCTCTCCTGTTTCCTTTACCTCTGGCTACCCCCTGGACTTCTGACCCACAAGCCAGTCAATGGAAGTACCATCTGAGCTAGTTGACTCACCACTACTTCCGACATAACACTCAGATTAACACATGCTGGTGTGTCTTTTTCAGTCTGCTCGTTTTTGGCAGACAAAAGGAAAAACCACTTCATTTACTCTAACATTTCACTTCAACGTCCCCATACTGCTGAACTTTCAGAAACACATATAAACACACACAAATGATTTTTTTTTTCCCTTAGAAGTACATTGGCCTTAAAAAAGGAGACAAGTAATAAATCTGAAGTGACTACTTCTTAGAATGGGGCAGAAACTCGGTTTTTTTTTATTTTTATACCAATAACAATATTTGAAAACTATTTTATCCCTAACACTTAAAAAATGATTAGAAGTCAAATAGTCTCAACAGTCCACTTGGGCTATGGACCATTAAAATAGATCTTTTCACTACTTAGGCTGTACCTATAAAAATCACCTTTCAGCATTATTTCTGAATTAGCTCTACAGCTAACCCTAGACTGTGCATCTATTTTTTAAATGAGTTTATTTTCCCCACAGCACTCTGAATGATTTGTATCATGTGATGGAATAGAAGTTTAGAAATTTATTTTGCAATCTTAAAGATATCTGTCTATAGTATAACTATCATCCTACGGGCAAAAAGCCAAAGGGCCTTAGATAGAGAAGCACAGAACTAGACGACCCCTAGGGATGAGCTACGCCATCCCTCATTTTACAGATGAACTTCTGTAAGCAAGTGAGTTATCTGTATGTTTTCACCAAAATATTCATACTATGAACATTATTCTGCACTTCACTGTTTTTCTCATACTGTCATGGGTATTCCTACAAGTCATAGATGTAGACCTACCTCTATTTTCTAACAAGTTTAGGTGTATGTATACACAATAACAGAAATTAAATGGGATCACATGCCATTTTAGTTTCTTTTAATAGACGTAATTTGTTCTACACTTTCCTTATTAAAGGAAATTCACTTTGTTTCCAGTTTTATTGTTTATTTTGCCACTTGAACAAAGTCATTAAACATCCTTGTGCACATATCCTTATGCACTGGAGTTTTATTTCTTAAGGACATATTTTCAGCAGTGGAAGTGCTGGGTAGAAGACCAGTATATTTTTAATTTTTATAGTCATTGCCACATGGTTTTCTAATAAGGCTGAAATATCTTACATTTCTACTGAATGTATGCAACTAGCCTTCTCCTCTACTCCAACCAATAGGTGCTATTAATCTCAGAGGAATAAAGTCATGGTCTTATTGTTACTTCAATCTGGAGGTAGAACGTCTTTTCAAATGATTCTTGACCAACTGAAGTTGCTCTTTATTCAGCTGCCTGTAATATCCTTTGTCCATTTTTCTTTATTGGGTATTTGTACTTTTCATTAGTATAAATCCTCCTTATGGTATCTTTTGCCATACAATTTGTTTTCTATGTAGTCATATATATGTGTACACACACACCTGTGTATGTATTTAAATCACAATGTATCATCCTCTATATATTCTTATAGCTTGTTGTTTTCCCCCTTACCATTTATAAGGAACATTTTCCTTTGTCAATAAATATTCATCTACCATATAATTTCCAGCTGGCTAGTAATAGTCCATTATATAGATAAGCCATGAGATTAAACCCATACCCTCTAATAGGTCATCCAGATTATTTCAAAATACTGCCCATCTAAACAATGATGTGATAATTATATATGAATATATTTGTGCCCACTTATACTCATTCCTTGCATTTGAAAGTAAATTATCTTTATAGGAAGAAGTGGGAGCAGATGGGAAGAAATATGCAAATGAACAGGCAGACTCCTCTATAATGACATGCTCACGTGAAGGAAAACCTAGCATGTGCCAAAATATGCGTGCTCTATACATATTGTTTTTACTTATTTATAACATGTTTTCTTTCTGGACTTAATTTTAGCATCAATTCTATAAGTCCTATCTTATATTTCTTTTGTACAGATGGTCAAATACAATAGTAGCATTACTGAATGTTTTCTATGTGCCAGATACTATACCAAGTGGTTTATATCAGGAGTCCCCAAACCCTGGGCCATGGACTGGTACTGGTCTGTGGCCTGTTAGAAACTGGGCCACTCCACAGAAGGTGAGCAGTGGGCAAGCAAGCAAAGCTTCACCTGTATTTGCAGCTGCTCCCCAGCGCTAGCATCACCGCCTCAGCTCCACCTCAGATCATCAGACATTAGATTCTCATAGGAGAACCAGTCCCTGGTGCCAAAAGGACTGGGGACCACTGGTTTATAGGACTAAACTCACTTAATTCTTCTAATTTTATCGATGAAGAAACTGAAGCATAAAGAGGCTAAGTAACTTATCTAAAGTCACACAGTTAAGAAATTCAGATCCAGGGTTCATACCCAGGCAATCTGTCCTCAGAGGAGAGGCAAGCACTTAATCACTAGCAACACTGCCTCTCAGACAGGTTAGATGAATTGCCCAGCCATTCAACTAGTAAATGGTAGAGCCAGGATTTGAAACCACATCTCATGCTCATGCAGTACCCATGCTCTATGACTTGCTGGCAATAACCTAGAAGACAAAGAACTCTTTTATAGGCAGTAGAAAAATAAAATAAAATAAAAAGAATTAGAGCACTTAACTACCTTTATGTCATTTAGGAATTCAATATCTTTCTTCTGTATTGCTTTATTTGTCCATATTAAGGCACTATAGGTCTTGGTCTTTTCTTCTTCACCTTCTTTCATATGTCCTATTGCCTCTCTAAACAAAAACAACAAAAAAAAGTTAGTCCAAACATATAAAATACACACAAGCCTTGCCCAAACTTCCCTTTCTTTAAAAATAGTTTGAGATATAATTTACATAACACTCCCCTGTTCTAACTGTATAATTCAGTGATTTTTAGTATGTTTACAGAGTTGTGCAGCTATCACTACAATCTAATTTTAGAATGCTTTCATTACCCCCAAAAAGAAATTTCACACCTATTTGCTGTCACTTCCCATTCCCCATTTTCCCCAGCCCTTGGCAACCACTTATCAACTTTCTATCTCTATAGATTTCCCTATTCTGAACACTTTATATAAAATGGAATCATTCAATATGTGGTGTTTGGTATCTGGCTTCTTTCATGTCATAATGTTTTCAAGGTTTATCTACATTGTAGCATTTATCAGTGCTTCATTCTTTTTTATTACTGAATAATATTCCATTGTAGGGATGGATATACATTTTGTTTATCCATGGACATTTGGGTTGTTTCTACTTTGTTTACAATTATGAATAATGCTACTATAAACATTCATGTAGATTTTTGTGTGAATGTACATTTCCATTTCTCTTGGGACTATATCTAGAAGTAGAATCACTGGGTCACATGTTAACCTTTTGAGAAACTGCCAAACTGTTTTCCAAAGTGGCCGCACAGTTTATGAGGGTTCCAATTTCTCCACATTCTTATTTTCTTTTTGATTACAGCCATCTTAGTGAGTGTGAAGAGGGATCTCATGGTTTTGATTTGCATTTCCCTAATGGCTAATAATATTAAGCATTTTTAATGTATTCATTGGTTATTCATATATTCTCTTTGGAGAGAGGTCCACTTAATCATATCCCCATTATTAATTGGGTTGTTTTCTTATTTTTGAGTTCTAAGAGTTCTTTACATATTCTGAAAACAATTCCCTTATCAGATATGTAGTCTACAACCAAAACTTCCCTTTTGAAATTACCTCCAGTGAGCCGACTCTTACCTTGTGACAAGCTGCAAGTCACGGACTTGGATTTTGTTAGACGAGTTATTTATTTTCTGTAGTAGCAGAAAAAGAAAAACAATTAGCAACTCTAGTTCAATTACAGAGTTGCAGAAACATGACGATTTCCATGTCATGAAGTGGTTTACCTGCTGAAGTTCCTTAATTTCTTGTGAAGTGAAATGTACTCTATGAGGATTCACCAGCTCAATTGCAAAGGGCCTTCCTGGCAGCACACACCCCGTCATGAAACAGAAACGTGTTGATGGAGTTAACATTTGAGCTAATGCAAGAGGGTGTGAAAAAACGAATTGAGCTCTAGAGGACTGAGGGGGAGGGAAGAATGTGTGAAAAGAATCAAGGGGCTTTTGGGGGGGTGCTAAACCCTAGTACAGGCAATATGTGAAAATGACTGTTTTCCCAAAGGTCCATAAACAAGCCTGTGTTAATTACAAAATAAAATCCAAACAATTGCTAATTGACTTGGTTACACTAGTGTAACGTTGTCACACACAGCAGTACCCGGGTCTATCAACTTGAAATCCATCTTCCTAGCCTAATCCACTAGTAAAATAGAAAAGCTGTAATTCCATGAGAGGAAGGGACTATAAATCTCAAATAGCTCAGGATTAACTCTCTCATTTTTCTTGTAATACAACAATGTAAAAGGAGAAAAATGAAGGCTAAATGAGTAGAAT